GAATAACAAGTGTAATATCCACTAAAGCAAAGCTTAAGTATATAACACCAACACCACATGTGTGCAGGACGACGATATGCATTGAAGGATACGTGCTAATGCACGTCGGTTGATTAATTAAGCTCGCTACGAGGCACACGACCTCAGTAGCTTTCTTAGGCTCGGCTATGATTCCGTTGGTGACTAACCAACCGACCGAACACATCCCGACATGCAAGGACTCATTTATAATCTTACAACGTCTAAAGTTGTTTAAACGGAACGAGGGTTCAGGCGATTAAACTCGGATTCAAAATTTATTCGGTTATCGTAATCGGATAAAACTAGGGTTTTAGTTCTCTGAGTAAACTGACTTGTTTTAAGACAAAACTTTAACTCTAAGTTCAACATAATTTATAAGAAATTTTCATCGACCATTTTCAGCTAAATCTCAACCGGAACAATGTCTAAAATTAGGGCAAAATGAGGCTAAAGCCCTAAATTTTTATCCATATCAAACGAAATTTAAGCCACAGAAACTACAACTCATACATGTTTTTTGGTAAAAATATCACAACATATATTCAATACCTAACACAGTTAACAAAAATCGGGCATTATCGGTCCAAATTTATAAATTTGGTTCGCATATCAAACGGATTTCAAAATTCACCAAACTTTTACCCAAGCCTCAAGACGATTATAAAATATTTATAGAGTTAGAATCATAATTTTTGGATCATCTCACAATATATTATCAATTGTATTCTATTTAACTCAATAACTTCATATAATCATATTTACTCTATTTTCTGCCGCTAACATTTTTAAAATAAATTATAATTCATGTCTAATGCCATGGAGTTAATTAGAGTTTGATGTGTTGGGGAAATGAGGGTGCTATGTATTTATAAATGTAGGTGAGCTAGGGTTTGTTGCCATTTTTGGGCTTGGAGATTGGGCCTAGAATTTAATTAACTTGAATAGGAAATTATAATACTACTTGGACTCGGTGAATTAAAATACCAACCGGTCATATAAATAAAATATTGGCTCGACTTAAAATGTCTCGATAAAACAGTTAGACCGGTTGGCCGGAATAAAGTGGACTTACTCGAATTTAAATGGGTCGCGTAGATTAAATATTCGGGCTTCGCCCGACTTAATAAAATTCTGATCATTCCAAGGCTCGATTTTTACTTTTAATAATAAAACCGATACTTGGCTAAATAAATTCAATTTAAAAATTAAAAATCGAATAAATTCTCCATGGCTTAGACTTAAAATTAAATACTCGATTTAACAAAAATAATACTAAATTAATGCATCGATAAGAACACTTGCTATTTGTGGAAATAAAGTCGAGCACCATAAATAGTTAAAATATTATGGGTGTTTCACCGATCCTATGTAATTCAACACTTCACCTGTGGCTTTCGAATTCGTTTACTTAAAAGGGTGTAGTCATTCTTATTAAACTCTTTATTTATTTTCAGTTATTTCAATTTATTCATGTTATTTAGGTGCTGAAATTTGAGTATTTATTGTTAATTTTCGTTTTCAGCTTGAAGCGGAGTCATCAAGACGTGTTCGGGATAAACTGGGTGCGATTCGTGATCGACCGAGCGTTGTCCGGGACCAACCAGGATCAGCCAGGGACTGACCGAGAGCTGTTCGGTCTATACCAGGCTGCACATTACCTCGAAGATTACCGGCACTTCAAGAGGGCCTTCGACGGGCGGATACCCAACAAAATGTCCGAATGTTTAGTTTTCTGCCATTATCTTTAGCGTCCAACCAAAAAAAGGTTAATAATAATAACAATTATATCTTCAATTCTTCAGCTTGCTCGATCCACAAACATTTCTCACGATAAAAAATAACAATATGAAATCAAAATGGTATTGAAAATATATTTTCCTCGTCCAGGAAAGACCAGTGAAATAAAAATTACCAATTGCAGTAGAGTCAAGTACAAAAAATTAAAAAGTAAAGAAATTTGGAAACTAAAATAACTAACCAGCAGTGACGGCGCCGCCTGGCGAATTGAGGTACATATGGATAGGTTTGGAGGAGTTCTCCTACTCGAGAAAGAGGAGATGCGCAACAATGATATGAGCGATATCGTCGGAGATGGGGCTATTGATGCAGATTATTCGCTCCTTCAACAACCAGGATAATATGTCATAGGCCCGCTCCTCTCGTGACGAGTGCTCAATCACCATCAGTATAAGCCCATACCATCTTCGCCCAACATCGGCGTTGAAAACAGAAGAGGCGCCATAGATTGCGCCAGAGCAAGCTTCGCATCATTGCTTGGTTCTATGCTGCGGCGTATTTTTGTAGATGGAGCAACGAATAAAAGACACTGTCTATCCTTTCTCAATATTTGATTACTCAATTAACACAGCGGATGACATATTCCACTTTTACCCGGTTGTATTACCATTATGTATTTTTCTAAAACGATTTTCAGTTTTCACTCAATTGCTAGACGGTTCCAATTTATTATATCTTCCTTTTGTCAGATTTTTTATCATCAATTTTTCTCTCTTTCTCTTTCCTTTTTTTCACTTCTTCTTCTTCTTCCCTAACTTTTTAATTTTTTCTTTCTCAAATCCGCACACCAAAGCTCCACCCTCTCCCCAATTTCTCTTATTTTTCATTATAATTCTACATCCCAAAATTTTTTTATTCTTATTTAACATAACAAATTATCATATCCTTTTTCTATCATATCTATTTTTTCAACCCCAAATCCACATCTCAAAGATTTTGACGGAATCATTCTTC